TCCAGTATCAGTGATTACAAGAATATCATTAAGAACTCTAACCAACGCTGTTTCAGTGCTATGCAATGGCTTAAAGGCAGATTGATTCTATGTTGTATCCATATAGAGGTCAGGTAGAATAAACCAGAAACCCTCTAAATCTGCTCTGTTTCTGTTCATAAAGTCTAAAATCCTTGCATCTTATTTACAAGCACAGTCCCAGCTCATTTACCATGGCATGCTTATTGGGTTTATGTGGTCATGGGTCTAAAGAAGAATGAAGAGGCTTGGAAATTAGGCTTAGACACTCATAAGCAAATCAAAGGCCACAGAAAAAGTCTGGTGCACAGCAATGTGGTGAGGGAAATGGAACACAAAACAAAGGGGAGGATTCTATATTATAAACAACAAGATTATTAATAAGAAATGAAGATAGAGCAGGGAAACAATACAAAAAAAGAATATTTTAACTTAAAATGAATCTTGCTGGTCTGTGTGAACACTGTTAGGCTGAAAATGAGATCGCTATTTAGGCTAAAATGAACCTTAACCTCCTAAGACCCGAACTCTTCCACAGCATGCATTTTTAATTTCTCTTTGATATTTGGGCTGATTGGGACCTGATGAATGTAAAAACAAAGAATTATCAGTTTTGTTTTGTTTTTTTTTTATCTAATTTTTGTTTCTAAGAAAAATGAGAGCCACATATGAGGATATTCGTCCTCATATCCACATATGAGAATATTTGTTTAAAATTTTGATAGAACAGTAGCAGTATAATGTCCTCATAAGTGGATATCAGGCCCCTGTAGAGCAAAATTGAGTATTTTGGTCTAAATAACCCAAAATGTGATGTCCACATATGTGGACGCCAGGTCCTAGGAAGTTAAAGTTGTGTGGACATGTTTAATGTTCTTTAAGAGACAGTATTTATGGGCGCAATAAAATACTGTATAAAATAGTTTCTTTTGTTTTGTATTAATTTTGTGTCTGTTTGTTTTTCCTTTTTTGTGTTTGGAGTCATTGGGTAGGATTTGTACAGACTGCGATCCACATTCCGAAGCAGAGGTGGCGCTAATGCAACCTCAACGATGACATAATCAACAGCACAGGAGGCAACAGTGCAACGCTCTAGAGCGGAGAGAGAAGAAGAAGCATTCCATTTCGGGGTAAACATGGCTGCTTCTGCTGGTTGTGATCATTACATTCGAAGCTGCTTATTGAAAGTGAGTAAAATGCTTTAAAAAATGTTCATACATTTGTCTTAAATATACGGTGGAGGCAAATAGGCTTTGAATATGCCAAGTTATAACTGTGCTATAACGATTATGTCGTCGGTATATCTCTGCTAGAGACTGTCATAGTTAGCTAGCTAGCTAGTTATTTAGTCTTCAGCCGGCAAACGTCGCTGTAACAGGGTTAAATAATAATAAATGTTTCAGACGGCATGATTTTGCATAATATCTGCACGGCGAGGGGCTTGAGAGTTTCTGGAGCTTTTCTCGCCTCCTTCCCTCCGGTCTTAGTCCTTCCCATCATAATTACACGCGGAGGAGACAAGGAAGCCTGCTCCCTCTTACATTTGACAAATAAGAAAATGAGAGTTTATGTATTTAGCGCAAAAGAGCACAAAACTGAATAGAATTTAAAATTGTTGCCTTCCTAATCGGTTGTACTTGGCCTTGACAGAAAACGTCAGGGGGAGGTCAAGGAAAGGCGTGGAGAATTTATCATTTATTTTATATACGCTTTAATTACATAACCTTTACACACTGTTTATATTTAAATCTTTTACATTGTGTCCAAATTTGATGTACAGATCTATTAAAAGTGTGTAAACAGCCTATCTGACATAATAAGTGATAAGTTGATGACTCATCTTTATATTTTCAAACAGCAGGGAGAATGTACTTTTTTTTAGGTCTTGGAGCCAAAACGTCTGATGCCACATGATATCATGTCCTGTTTTACCTAACATGTGACAAATATATTTTATCCTCATGTCCTCATTGCCAATTTTTTAATTAATTACTTAAGGGGTGGTCAGGGCGTGTCATTAGTATGGAAGCTCTTCACTGTGAGCCAAGACGTTTATTACAGCACGCCTAATCAGACACTTGATTAGTAGCTGAACATTTTAAAGAACCTAACAAAAAACAAGTGGCTAAAGCTGTTCAGAGTTCAGTCAGCCAGCAGCCTTGGTATGAGAATCCAAACAGCTCCAGTTATCAGGGGAATTTATAAATGTTGTTTTGTTATATATCACCGGCTTTTGTTTGATAAGGTCAAATATGTCAAATAAAGGTGGGTGTACTGCAGCAAATTGTTATTTAATTATTTGTACTTCTTTCCAGTAGCAGAGCATTTTTTCAGTTGTTTAAGAGAGAGGGGCTTCTTGACTTACTGCTGTTTGGGAGAAATTTAAAGTTTATTCATATATACACATGCATATAATATTTACAGACACACACATAATTTCCGTGACAGTGCCAAGCTCCCTCTTGAACTTTGTCAGCACTGTTTAATAAAGAATTTTCAGAATAAGGATTACATTTAGACGCGCGCGCGCACACACACACACACACGCGCTTAGTGACTTATTGCTACAGCTACACAAACTGTGATAGGACTACTATATGGGCTCAAATTGTGGTCATAAATATTTTGTACTTGTAAATCATGATTTTTATGTGTAAAAAGAATTTGTGTGTGTTTAAAAAAGATTTGTGTGTGGACTTAGCCCAAAAATACGTGTGAAACTCTGCACTCAAGTTTCAAGTTACAAGTACGAATTTTGACCCCATTTTTCTTCCTTTCATCTGATTGGCCAATGTCATGTCAATCACAAATTTAACTATCCAATCAGAGAACAGGTGGGTTTGGCTATTGGAGGGGTGCTTTATGGAGCTTCAGGCGCTTGAAGGGAATAAACGCCCTTTTACATGCCAGTCCAGTGTTTTCCTTCATCACCAGGAAGGAAAACAGTCTGTGGTGGTCTCAGTTTGGTGATTTTTGCGTCACAGGTTTACGTGCTTAATACAGGGACCTCTAGGGCCTTTTCAACAGCGCTGCGGACCTGGGGGGGGGGGGCAGTATTGTGGAATTGACAGTCTTCACTAGTGGGGATAGTTACAAAGCTTTCTTCATTATGAATGAGCATACATGTTTTTATTGAATATTTGAAAAACCAGCAAAAAAAACAGAAACTCTTGTAGAGGACATAAAGTCAGAGATAGAAACGACAAGGAGCAGGTGCATCTAGTACAGGTAGAGCTGCTGCAAAAACCCACAGAGCTCAGCAGCCAGCGCAACAAATTCTGGATCCTTGGCTTTTAGTTAGCAGTAGCAGCACGTGCTGCGTCCGATGTGAGAGGACCTTTATGCTGCGCACTGTGACTCACAGCAATGGTCCCGGGTCAGCCCTGACTTTGTGTTAAACTAATCCTAAAGTAATAATGGTATTTCTAACCACTGATATACCACAACTTTATCCTTTCAACAGCTGCTGAAAGTTTGGGGACCTAGCTTGTAGCGGATATTTATATAGAGATCCTCCAGCTTCAAACTGTATTACCCTTCAAGGACCTGCAGTTCAAAAAAGCACCCAGCCAAACCCATCTGTTCTCTGATTGGATAGTTAAATTTGTGATTGACATGACATTGGCCAATCAGATGAAAGGAAGAAAAACGGGGTCAAAATTCGTACTTGTAACTTGAAACTTGAGTGCAGAGTTTCACACGTATTTTTTGGCTAAGTCCAAACACAAATCTTTTTTAGGCACACACAAATTCTTTTCACACATACAATTCCTGATTTACAAGTACAAAATATTTATGACCACAAGTTGAGCCCATACTACTATACCCATCCCTGTCTGTGCCCTGTGTAATCGCGTTTCTGCTGTACTGCAGGCACCTTGCTGCGGTAAACTGTACGTGTGTCGGCTGTGCCACGATGCAGAGGAGAACCACCAGATGGATCGATTCAAAGTCAGAGAGGTGCAGTGCTCAGCGTGTCTGACGGTGCAGCAGGTAACTGAGGAAAAGCTAGTTAACGTGTTTGAGCTCCACCGTCGGTTACAGCAGGACGTCTCGATGTCACCTTAGTGCTTGAGTTGTACTTTTGATTATGGTTAGCTCGGATGAAGGGAAAAAGCTGTACAAATGTTATACTTTTGTAGACACAGCAGACTTGTCAGCAATGTCATTTGCTGTTTGGGGAGTATTACTGCGACATTTGCCACTTGTTCGACAAAGACAAGAAGCAGTACCACTGTCAGCCCTGTGGAATCTGCAGGTAAGAAACTGATTCAATATATTTCATGTTTATAGTGTCTAAATATTTCTATGTGTAACTTTAATAGTAATAATGATACGGGTACTGGGGAAATGTCTTTTTAACGTTCCCCACAAAATTTTCCCATTTTTCTTAATTCATTAAGAAACGGTCAGAGATAAAAATCAGTGTTGTGTTATCATGCTGATATTTCACTGTTCCTGAAACACATGATGGCAAAATTTGTCATTTAGTGAGTTTTCAAATGTGCCTCTACAGGATTGGGCCCAGAGAGAAGTACTTTCACTGCGAGAAGTGCAATTTGTGTTTAGCTCAGGATCTGCAAGGAAACCACAAGGTGACTATCGCTGTGTTCCTGACTCGCCTACATCTATCTGTATGTTAAACCGTCACAGTTTTAATTTCCCTTTATTTTCTATGTTTCAGTGTGTTGAAAATGTTTCAAGGCAGAACTGTCCTGTCTGCATGGAGGTAACAGCATTAATGGGATAGAAGGCGAGGAGAATGTTGGCTCTTTTTTAATCTATTTTCTCCACAGTTTAATATATATTTCTTTCTTTTTTTAAATGTTTTTTAATGCAGGATATTCACACATCCAGGATTGGAGCTCATGTTCTTCCATGTGGCCATCTTTTACACAAGTAGGATTCCTTACTCTCTGGATACTGTCAGTTCAGGGTTATGGGGTTTAATAGTGTATTTTTTAATTTCTACCAGTGGCACAAAATGATATTTAAAAAAAACACACCGGGCATTTTTCCCACTTCCAACACAAAAAGTCTTTCACATCTTAATCTTTAATAATGACTGATTTTACTTTTATTAGTCCTGTTAGACTGATTTGGTGACTTATCCAGTTTTTTCTGTGTGAAATATCTCACCTACACGACTATGCTGGTGGAAAAATAGTTACAGTCTAATATCAAAATCAGGTCAACACTCCTCTGTTTCTCCTGTTTGCTGCTGCTGATAGTTCAGTGTCGCTGCTCACACACACACATGCACAAATTAACTTGAAAGCATCCAGAAGTCTGTGCAAAATTTGTGACAGAAAACTATAGTGAAGCACACTCAAGTTATTATTATGACTCTTTTAATAATATGAATGTTTAATGCATGTGTCGGGAAATGAATCACAGATATTTGAGTAGGATCAGGCCTATCTGACCAAAATGTCAAAGAGGTGCCTGATTGCAACACTGTCAGTTTGACAGTATCTGTTCACAGACAAACACATAGTACTCAAAACTACCTTTGTAGTATATCCTGCTGCCACAGTCTCCAAGAACACAATTTTGCAGTAATGACAAAACACAGACTCAGCACTGACAAACTGACTGCAGATTAAAATATCTTCACGATCTATTGTGACATAATAGTAACAATGCGTTTGTTCACCTTCTTCCACAGGACCTGCTTTGATGACATGATCAGAACAGGGTATGTTTAATGAACTCCTTTTTCTGGTAAAATAAGATGTTGTTGTAATTAAGGGACCGGGTTATAGTCTGCTTTTTACCCCTCAGCCATAAAAGGCTGACGGAGTATTGTTGTCGCCCTGCTAAGCATGCAGGATGTGTCGACACAAGTTTGTAAACGAGACCATGTAAGATTTTGAAATTGATACAGTAGGTCCATCTACTAAAAAATCTCAGATAAGTTTGAATCTCAGTGACCTTGACGTCAAGGTCAGAGGTCAGGCTTTTGTACAGGCTTCTGTAATTTGTAAAAGCTTTCCTGAAGAAGATTGTCCAATCTACCTGGTACAGAGCAAAAACAGTTTCTGATCAGCTTTTTAAAGGCAGTGTGTGTGTGGCAATGTAGGGATTTTTGTGTCCTCTTATTTGATTGCTGGTGGCCTTCCATATGATTGCTTTTTTCCCTCCCCTGTGTTTGTTTCAGAGCTTATCGCTGCCCACTGTGCATGCACAGTGCTTGTGACATGCAGAACCATTGGAAGGAGATAGATAAAGAGATCGCTCAGTCACCAATGCCCACTGAGTACCAAGGAGCAATGGTCAAAGTAGGCCTTCGATAACACAATAAAATGCTGGTGCATTTATCTAAATGTGAATATGAAACCGATATTTGTTCTGTTTGATGATTTTTTTTTTTAATGTCTTTACTGCAGATTATGTGTAACGACTGCCAAGCTCACTGTACGGTGCCTTTCCATGTGCTGGGAATGAAGTGCACCAGCTGCGGCTCGTACAACACAGCGCAGGACGGAGGACTCATCCAGCTGCAGCAGCCCGAGCAGAACATGGAGCCACAGCAGCACGATCAACAGTAGTTTCCACACAACATTAAGAGTACATGCTTGACCAAAACCGAAGGCATGTGATGTAATAACGAGCATCTAGGGTAAAACTAGACTGAGCCGGTTTCTCCAGTTTGTACATACAAAAATGTATTTATCTATTTTCCCTACCTGCTAACGTTCGTCGTGGATGGAATTTTTCCCAGGATCCACTCGGTGGGAATCACCGGACAGGATCACCATACTTACAAAGAAAGACAATTTAGAAGCATAGTCCATATGACCTGCATGTTTATAGGAGGCGGCACGATTGAATCATTCAAAGCCACGCAGGTGATGGTGTCAGTGGTGTGCAGTTGTGGTTAGTTAGCCCTGATACATCTGGTTTATGTGCCATAAATCTTATTTAAATGATCTGAGTAAGAGAAAGTGTTAACTAATGTGTGTTTGTCATTGGCATTGGTCAGCCTGTGCTGTTACTTGCATAGTCTCCCTGTTAGTCAAATATTTAACAGATGGCATTGTTTCTTCATTAGTTCTAAATACATATTTTAGTTTGTCATTGTGGATCCCTCTCTCTATGATTTTTAGTTGGAACTTGCTACAAGGGTTGAAAATGGTTTATTGTATCAAAATTCTAGTTCAAATCAAACATTCATGCATATCTTTAAAAAAGGCTCATTATATATAAACTTGATGATCTATTTGTCTTTAAAGCTGTCATCAAAACCCACTTATAATTGTAAAATACTATATGTGCAATCTGAAATTTAAAAAACGAAATTGCATACAAATGGAAATATATGTGAATTAAATTTAGATGGCTTTGTAATGCTCCACAGCTAGCCAACATCCTGTATAATTTCTGTTGTACCCACAGACTGTATATTAAAGAAAGATGCATGTAACCTCAAAGATTTCAAAAGCGGAGTCTGTGAGGAAGTGCCTTGAATTTGCTTTCTTTCTACTGACCAGCAGGGGGCGACGTCTGTTTGCAAAAAGAAGTCAGACTGCAAAAAATTCTGCGATGATTGCATACTTTATACTTGATTTGTGACCTCGATAAACACATTCTTGATAGGTTTATGATCTTAATTGTTCAATTCATTTTGTAAATTATGGCGCCCATTTTAGAGGAAAGGAGAGTATGCTGTTTAGTGTGTTTGGCAGCTGCTAACGCACGAGCATGTAGCAATTATTACGTTCAGTTTGAAAACATCAAGACAGCGGCTGCCAAAATGCTGAGGATGAGACTTCGGTCTTTGATATACAGTCTGTGGTTGTGGCTGCTGTGATAAATGGCCCTTGATTATTTTTGCATGTTTGCCCCTTGCAGGTATCAGGTTTGCTGAACTGTACTCTGACTGTAATACACACTCATATTAAACACTCATTTTACTAAACAGTTCACCGGATTTGAGACAAACATTTTATCAGTTTAATTTTCAGCTGTTTATTAATTAATTTATTGTGACTGTACTTTTGTTATTGCAACAGCTTTAGATGTGTTTATTGTATATATACAGCATATACATTAGCACCATTTTTTTTCCCATTTGCCAAGGTTGAGGGAAAAGTGGCAAAGTAAAAGCCACGTGTAGTTAGGACATCTATATAAGTATCAAGTCAAGGTTGTGTATATGTACAGCCATAATGTGGTCTGTCCTGGTCACCTAGGCTGAACTAAAACTTAAATGAACAACAATTTCTGTGTTCTGTTGGGGATCAAATGCTGTCTCCTCTAGGTGGATCTGGCTCAGCAGTTGTGACCTGGAAAGTGAAACAGACAGGACCACCATCTAGTGTTGTTCCAATAGGGAGTACCAGTGGTGGGGCTGTGGAGAATGCTGTAGGTGTTGGTTGGATGACACATGTAGGAAAGGGTGGAGTGACACCCTGGGTGGATCCTTGGTATGTGGTAATGACTTGTGGTTGAATTGTACCTATGACTACACCAGCCTCTGAAAGCCCTGAAGGATGCGTGTTTGGTAGAATGTGGGTAGGGTTAACAGCCTTAACAGAGTCCTTTGTGGGACCAGAATTGGGCACATCTAAAGAAACATCAACGCTCATCGCAGTATGAGACGGATCTGGCACAAGCTGTAAAGCATCTGGGTCAGCAGAGGTTTGTGGGTCTGCAGGAGAAGTGGCCAGAGAAGGTCCTGCATCTGCAGAGGGAAGCGGTGTTGCATCCAGGGGGTTGTTCTCTGTAGCATCCGGCGTGTTTGACTCCAGGGTTTCCTGTGAAGACCGACCATTAGTGGTGGTCTCTTCTGATGAACTGGATTCACTGGACTCTGATGACTTGGGTGAATCCTCACTTTCTTTCAGATGGACCTGTTTTATAATGAAACTGTCACAAATCCACCAATCTTTGCTATACAGTGGGAAAATGTAGCAGTAAAGCAGTATATCTACTCACTGGTTTAGCTGTCACTAGAGTCACCATGAGGACAGCGCAAAGGGTGGCCCCCAGGACTGCCATTGCTGTCCTTCCTGTATTTGCTGAAACAAACTAAAAGAACCATATTGGTAAACTGGTAGTGTGTACATTGAGAGACAAACAGTGTACTTTCTTCTTGGTTCAGTTAAAAATGATTTCCACCTCAAATATTGTTAAAAAAGACATTTCTGGAATCATTTCTTTCATGTTTGTAGTGGCACAAATCTTCTTCTTTTTTTTTTAGGGGGGGGGGGGGGGGTTGATTTACATTTAAATTTGTCAACCCTTTGCTAATATTGCCTTTAACTGTCTCAAGCATAAAATTCATTAATTTTTAATTAAGGGAATTGCTGCATCCACCAATCTATTACTATTTGAAGGAATTAAAGAGTAACACAAGTAAACATTTTAGAATTCAATTTAAATGCATTATTCAATGTTAGTAAAGTTGTTCAGCATCTTGAACTACAACAAGTTCAGTAAAGTTATGATTGAGAACCTACCTTAATGGTCGAGTGTCCTCCTCACCATAGAAACGCTCCAGACTGATTACAGTAAATTCTCACTTCTACTCAGTCCTCAGCAAACAATAGAACATCTGGGTTGGCCTTCTTTTTATATGGCCGTGGAAATGTGTGGGTACCGGGACATCATTGGGTTCCTGTTCCTGGTAATATATTATGCACTGTAGCGCTGATTCCTAAAACCATGAAAGCTAAATCATTAAACACCCCCAGCTAAACTGAAATTACAGATCGCTAAAAATTCTAGGACAATGGCTGTAGAAGAATAAGTCCACCAGAAGTGCCTATTCATAAGCACAGTAAACATGTGTTTTGTGGTATTGGTTTAAACAATGGTTTAGAATTTAAATAGATGTAAAATACCTAAGGAATTTTAGACAAAGTTTCATGCATAGTGTTTGCACTGGGTGCAAAAGTACTAACGTGATTTTGATTGTTTTGATGTTCCATGGTATTAATTGAATACCCAGTGTTTCCATAGACACTGAAACAACATATTCTATATGGACACCGTTTTGTCTCCATGTGATTTACAGAACAGTCAAATAAGACAATTCAGGAAATTAAGGATCACTGCAATTCATTGTTTCCTAGCTGATTGCGACATCACCATGAAGACTACAAAGCCTTGCAGAGTGTCTGTCCACAAGTGTTACAAACCATATGTCTCCTAAATACCTAAATAAAACATTAATCATGATAACAATAATAATAGCTTCAACTGTGTGCCATGACACTTAAAAGTGACATTTCGGATCATTTACAGTCCTCTGTAGTCTTAAGCCACCACTCATTTCTTTGTTTTGCATACAGTGAGCCAGACTAGTAATTTTTAAAATGTGATCTTTAGCAACAGTTTGAGGTTTTCTGAAGGTGTTCCATTTGCTGCTTTTCCCCACTCAATTTTAGTTCAGTATCTGTCCATTTTTAGATTTGTTTCCTTAGCCACTGGGTGCTGAGCTACGAGCCATTCAAGAGTTGAAAACACCTACACATAACAGAAAACGTAGCAAAACACCAGTTTTATGTTGTATTGTAAGGCACATTGTTACTAACAGCTTGTTGCCCCCCCCCCCAAAAAAACCAAATAATAGTAATTTCTTTAGTTGAATCTACAAAAATAAAATGCTTAGGACAAAAGTTTGAGAGGCGTACATTGTAATTTTGCAACAAAAAGCTGCTAGCCAGAAACTGGACATAAATCAACATGGTGTGTGACGATGAAAAATGGAAGAAACTGGAGGAGAAAAGAAAAGTGAAAGACCTAAACAAACAAAACTCTACAAGTGAACAGTAGCTGGAAGTAGTGTTCTTTGTAGGAAAAGATCCAGCAGAGACCTGACGATCTGGCTGATCCAAAGTTTCATGGGAAACAGCCTCAGTGGAAGGGTGGCTGTCAAGAAGCCATTCTTTAAAGAAAAGTTTGAGGTATGCCAAATTATACAAGGAGTGGACAGGAAAAATCTGACAATATTTGGGATTCATCACTTAATGAGTGACAAATCAAACTGCTGTCAATGTGTATGCAGGTAGTAAGGAGAAGAATACATCAGTGTTTGTAAAACAGAGGCTCTGTCATGGTTTCGTGCTGCATTTCAGGCAGTGGTGTTTGAGAACTTGTCAAAAAACACGGAATTATGAGGAAAGTACAGTCAGATTTTGACAATGATCATGTGTCACACCAAATACTGACGTTTAAGTTTGTTAGAATTCTACAAA